CAACAAATCACCTTTTGAACTGTTACATGCCAAGGTACCAGATTATTCTATTCTCAGGGTTTTTGGCTGCTTATGTTATCAGTCAACAAGTACACAACAACGACATAAATTTGAATCAAGAGCAAGAGCCTGTGTGTTCCTTGGTTACCCTGCTGGTTATAAGGGATATAAACTTCTGGATTTAGAGACAAATGTTATTCATATCTCACGTCATGTGGTGTTCTTTGAAGATATATTCCCCTTTGCAAAGCCGCAGGCCATTCCCTCAGATATTTTTGATACTTCTGCATCATACCCTGCATTTTCGTCAGTAGAGCAATCTCCTAATGATGTTCTAGAATTGCAGAAGCATGATGAAATGCAGAATGAAGCTGAGGATAGTGAGGAACAACAGAATGCAGAATTAATTTCTGATGCTTTGGATTCTCATGACAATGCACATCCTGCAGTACGAAAAAGAAAAACCAAACTACCAAGTCATCTTCAGGATTACTATGTTAATGCTGTTCCTGATGTCACAAAGGATGTGAGGTATCCTCTTGCTGCTTATATTAATTATACTCAGTTATCAGAGGAATTCACAGCCTACATATGTGCAGTTAACAAGTATCCAGAACCATGCACTTATGCTCAAGCTAAGAAGATACAAGACTGGATTGATGCAATGGAAATTGAAATTGATGCATTGGAGAGTACTAACACTTGGATGGTTTGTTCTCTACCTGAAGGCAAGAAACCTATTGGCTGTAAATGGGTTTTCAAAGTAAAACTTAATGCTGATGGGAGTTTAGAAAGATATAAATCCCGTTTAGTGGCTAAAGGTTACACTCAAAAGGAAGGGTTAGATTATGTTGATACTTTCTCTCCAGTAGCCAAAATGACAACCGTAAAGACCCTTCTCTCTGTTGCAGCTGCTAAGAATTGGAGTTTACAACAGTTAGATATTTCAAATGCCTTTCTGAATGGTGATTTAAATGAGGAGATCTATATGAGTATACCTCCAGGCTATTCTATGAGTCAGGGAGGATCTTTACCTGAAAATGCTGTATTGAAGCTTCAGAAATCCCTATATGGTTTAAAGCAAGCTTCACGGCAATGGTACTTGAAATTTAGCTCCACTTTGCTTGCTCTGGGTTTCAAGAAATCTCATGCTGATCACACCCTCTTCACCAAGAAGACTGGTAATGTTTTTCTTGCCTTGTTGGTTTATGTTGACGATATCGTCATTGCTGGGAATAGTACTGAGGCTATTACACAGTTGACGAATGATTTAGCAAAGGCTTTTAAGCTTAGGGATCTAGGTCCTCTTCAATACTTTTTAGGCCTAGAAATTGCTAGATCCGCAGAGGGTATTTCTCTTTGTCAGCGGAAGTACACATTGGAATTGTTAGAAGAAACGGGTATGCTAGCTTGCAAACCATCTACAATTCCAATGGAACCAAGCTTGAAGTTAACTCAAAAGGATGATGGTTCAGAGATTGATACACCAGAAACTTATCGAAGATTAGTTGGTAAGCTGATGTACTTAACCATCACTCGTCCAGACATCACATATGCGGTAAACAAGCTATGTCAGTTTTCCAAGACTCCCCAGCAAGCACATCTCAATGCTGCTTATAAGGTGGTTCATTATCTTAAAGGCACAATTGGATTAGGCTTACTCTATCCGGCCAAATCTGATTTGCGTCTTAAGGCTTTCACTGATGCAGATTGGGGTTCTTGTGTTGATACTCGACGTTCAACTTCTGGTTTCTGCATGTTTCTTGGTGACTCATTAATCTCTTGGAAGTCAAAGAAACAAGATGTTGCCTCTTACTCCTCTGCTGAATCTGAATATCGAGCAATGGCTATGGCTAGTCGTGAGATCTCTTGGCTGGTGAAACTATTAGCTGAGTTTGAAGTACCACAATCACATGCTGTTCCTCTGTTTTGTGATTCTACGGCTGCTATTCACATCGCCAACAATTCAGTATTTCATGAGAGGACAAAACATATTGAGAATGATTGCCATATTACAAGGGATCGGATTGAACAAGGTCTGTTGAAAACAATGCACGTGAAGACCACTTCTCAGCTTGCAGATGTTCTCACCAAGCCTTTGTATCCAGCTCTGTTCTCTTCTCTTATTGGCAAGATGAGCCTCTTTTCTATTCACGGCTAATCTTGAGGGAGGATATTAGACTGTGGTTATTAGCCGGTTTAGGAAAACCAGTGTGATTAGACTAAACCAGAGCATTCTACTATATAAAGAATGTATCACTGTAACAAACGGCTTAATGAGAAATAACAGAACATTTCATATTTTTCCTCGAGCTTCTTTCTCATTCTATTAATAGGTAACTAAAACATGAGAAGTGACCTTTAGGAAGAGTACTTACAGAGCGACAACACTCTGGCCTCTGCAGGTGACATAAGACCAACTATAGCAAGGGCTCACGAAATCGCGTGTCCATTTTAGATGGTTGCTCGAATCATTAAGTGAATCTCTGAGCTGTAACAAAGCTCCTCCTAGCAAATTAAACCAGTCAATACCATAAATATATCATTAATTGATTGATAAAAAACAAAAATGCTGATATGTAAGTATACCTTCGATGTCTGGTTGAGTTGTTGAAGAAGTGACTCCCACAAAAGCTAAGACCACGAAGCACTGTAAGATCAATATCTGGTAGTTCCATCTAAAGCAATATTTTTGAATGAATCCTCTTCGAGCTCTTAGAGGATCACGAAAACTTTCATAGTTCCCTGCAGTTGATGAGATATTATTTAGGAAATCACTTGATTTTCATATGTAGAATCTATATTCTAAACTGCATCAAACATAATAAAAAGTTAACTTATATTACAAGAAACACATCAAAGCCCTTGTGATCAAATTATGTGAAAACTATAAACATAAGCAAGCAAATAAAGGAAAAGACAGGTTCATGGGTCTAATTGTGTCTTCAAAAACCAACAGCTTTGATTGTTTATGATGTGAAACATTGTCAGATCAATCCACAACTTCTCCAACAGAGCTCATTCGAACCCCAAAAAAAAAATCATAAAGAAATGAAAGCTTATAATTAAGCAACAAAGAGCAACAAATTATATATATGATGGTGTGTTTGACTATTTTGCTTTTTGATGATTAGATGATACCGTCTCACAAAACCTCTCTGTTTTCACCCAAAATAGTTGTAGCTTGAAGAAACTAAAAAGAAGCAATAAGGTTTTAATTATACTAGATAAAAAAAGACAAATCCAACTTATATATAATGAAGAAAACTAAACAATAAAGTGGAAGCAGAAGCAAAGCGTTATAAGTAGGACGTACCTGAATGAGCCATAGAGAAGCTTGGAAACACTCTAAAAACACACAAGAGAACAAAAGCATGGAGGGGTTGAAGAGAGAAATGGAGGATTTTGTATATAATAATGAAGTTAATAAAAAAGCAAACTCAATAATGTAAAAATCATATTAAAGAAGAAGATGACTCTCTTTTTATTTTTACAAGTTAGTGCCTTTAATGGACCCGCAAAAGGTATTTATATATATATATATATATATTTTTTATCATATTATTATATCTCTCTTTCTCTGATATAAAAGAAGAAGAAGAAGAAGAAGAAATGCTGCTTTGAGGGAAAGAGAATCCCACTAAGTTGAAACAACGTTCATCTTTTTATTTTCTTAATGGAGATTGTTCTTCTTTTTTGGTCTTCTTTATTTTTTGGGTGATCTCTTTTGCAAGTGCATGTGGGACTTTGGATGTGAAATGGGACTACAAATGGTGTTTAATAAATGAACTAAAATAAAGAATAAATTAAAAAGAATGGTTTTGAATGAATCGGTTAATCAAAAAAGAAAAGCCAAAATGAGTTAGAATTAAGGAATTGGATTATATTGCATGGCTTATATATATATGCTTAAGGAAGAGACAGAACAGAAGCATATGTGTGTAAGAAGCTAGCAGATTCCACTTGTTCAGGATTATATTCCTCCAATCTATACCATTTCTCTAGATGATAGCTAAATGCAAAAGGGCGTTTTTGTATATATTCCTTTCATCCAAAAGGAAGATATTATATACAAAACTCAAATACAGTACTAGTCGATCACTTGAATTTGGGACTGTTAAGACTGAAACAACACTTGGAAATAGCTATATCTTAACTTAACTACCCTTTTTAAACATCATGTATTGAAAAATCTGAAACATCTATTAAAGACAAATTTTTAAAGAAAATTAGGTGAAAAAAAAGAAACACAGTGTGAGGAAGAAGCTGCAGACGAAGAATATTAAAAACGGAATAATGCTGCTGATATCACACTATTAAACAAAATATGCTGGTGAACTTATTGGACATATATATTTTTTTTTTTGGACAAATTAAAGCTTTGTACATATGTTCTTATTATATGCTCTCATCATGGCAAGCCTTTGTATCATACGATACGATTATTCCTCACCACAAACAACACATCTAGACTTTTGTTTGTTCGATCGATGTGCAAAAAGATCTGACCATCATATCGCAATCTGGAAACGTATATTTTTTTTATAAAGTCTAATTTTATCTACATTCACAAATAAAACAGATTCCCATATAATTTCTCTTTTCTTTTATTCCGGCAAAAAAAAAATGAACTAGGATTTGCGAAAGAAAACTTGAGAGCAAAGAACAAACAAATGTAACACGTAAATGAATATTTCAATGATCTGTTCATAAAGTTTTTTATAATTAGTAAATTAATTTTAATGATGTCTTGATACTGCATTAAAATATTTCATAAAGTTTTTTATAATTAGTAAATTAATTTTAATGATGTCTTGATACTGCATTAAAATATTTCAGAACCGAGGAAGAGAGAAAGTTAAAATTGGTTTGGATGGAGCGAACCGGGTAAAAGAGTGGTTTGGGTCGGTAAATAATCCAACTTATTAAGGGTGAAGAGGTCTTTCATTTCTTTATTTATTTAAAAAAAAATGAAAAAAAATGGGAATTTGCTTTTCGAGAAAAAGGGCAGAGGAGAGATTAAAAGACTAGTCACCTCAAGTAGAGCGAATCGAGAGAGTGTGAGAAAGAGGAGAGCGATGGCGATGGCGAGAGATATTGATGTAGTGGAGATTGTGGAGGACGACGGTGAAGACAAGGAGTGCGAGGACTGGTGCTTCATCTGCAAAGACGGTGGAAGCCTTATGCTCTGTGACTTCAAGTGAGTCTCTTTCCCTGTCTCTCATTAACGGATTTAGAACAACTCCGATGAAGAAAAACATAATGCTGCCTGTTTTGGTTTTGAGTATTTTCTTTCTTCTTTGCATGTTGATTTCTGTTGGTGTTTTTGTCTTTGTGGGATTTCAAGGTAGGATTATACAATGAAGTGGGGGGAAACGTGTATTGTCCTCTCATTATATTTGCTTCGTTTTATAGATTTGTTTGTCTTAATGGTATCAGCAAACTTTGTGTATTCACTAGCAAAGTTCTACTTTTGTTCATTAAAATTTGATGATTTAGTTTGGAAGACTTATGCCCAAAAAGATTCATTTCCGTTGAATGCAGCCATAAAGAATTGTTACTGCTCTGCTTTAGTCTTTTTTTTCCTAATGATTTTTTCATATGAATGCGCTCTAGTAGAGACATTGTGTACCATTCTGTAATTAAATGTATCAAGGTGTTTCCTTTTTCTTTAGTTCATTGTTTTTTTTTTTTTTTTTCTTTTTATCTACTATACTGCAGCAGATTGTTAATGTAAGATTTGCATGTATCTCATATATGAAAATATCGTCAAGATGAATGTTAAAGCGTTTTCAGTTGTGAGTCTTGTCACATCTAGTTTTTATGTATGCATCTTAAGCTACACCTCGTTGTGCTTGTCTATTTCAGGGACTGTCCAAAAGTTTATCATGAAAGTTGCATAGCAAATGAAAGCCCAGCAAGCAAGATTGGAGACTCGTTGATCTGCAGTAAGTGCTACTGTTTCCCTTATGTATGTTTACTATCATTTTGGAGTAGCATGCTTTCTTTGGATTGTCACTTAGCTTCTGTCAGTGGTCTCCTCTTTATTAGTTGAATGGCTTTCTTTGTCAAAAAATGAGAGAAATTGGTTGAGGATTCCTCGATTTTTGTTTCCGAGTAGTTTGTAGAGACGAGTAGAACCCATTGGCATCTAACAAGAATAGAGTTTGAGCTTCTCTTTCTTTAATTATTGTATAAGATATCCCCCTCTCTCTGCAGATATATTGTTTCTTAAGCCTCCAAAACCATTTGCAACTCAAAGTACAAGCTTTAGATCAATAAGTCTATCACTTAAGCTAATCTATCCAGTCTATATATTTGAAAACCAATGTACTAACTTGCTAGTCCCTTGTCACTGTTAGATTTCCGAAAGCTACTGTATTTTTCATACTTGCTTTGGAGGGACTAATGTTAAATTGTAAAATTTCAATTTTCAGTGTGGCACAGTTGCTACTTGTGTAGGAAGACACCAAAGCTGTGGTGCTTTTGTTGCCCACATGCTGTCTGTGAAGCCTGTGTTACTCATTCTGAGTTCATTCAACTTAAAGAGAATAAAGGGTTATGCAATCAATGCCAGGAGTATGTCGATACTTTAGAAGAAGTTAAATTATATGCTGCTGCTGGGGTATGTTTCAAACTGCCATAACCATATCAATATAATATCTGATTATTTCCTTTTTACCCAATTTTGTTTAGTAGTCTCTAATCTTGAAATTTTGGTAGCCGTCTGTTGCAAATAAAAAAGGTGTTTAGTATTTGTGAAATCTGTACAAAAGGGATTTATGGCCAAACGAAACGAAGATGAGCATGGATTTGGAAGAATCTGAGTGAACCAATGCTACAAATTTCAATTAGAAGACTTGGATAGGATTAGGCAAAGATAGATGAATCTCCCAATGTATTAAGCAAATTAAATAAATTAAACATGCTTTAGAACCGGTAGTGTATTACTTACTTTTATTGTTTCTTAAATTAAAAAACTATATACAAATATTAACTACATATATGTTCAACTCCAAAGCTTGTCTTTAAACCATTGCATGCTTTCTTTTTATTATAAATTCATAATGCACCAGGAGATTTAGGGGGTTTTGTTTATATTTTCTGTGCTGAACATTCCTTTACTGCTTGGCAGGATAAGCTTAACTTGAAAGATCCGGATACATACGAGTGTCTGTTTCTTGAGTATTGGGAAATAACAAAAGAGCAAGAAGATATAACCTTTGACGATGTCCGCGATGTCTGTGCTTCAAAGCCACAAAAGAAAGGTGTCAAGACAAAGTACAAAGATGATTCCAAATTTTCGCTTGGTGATGTCCACACTTCAAAGTCAAGAAAGAAAGGCGTCGCTCTGAAGTACAAAGATGATCCCAAATTTTCACTATCTGACCCCGCGGTTGAGGATGCAGAAAATCATAAAACGGTGGGCTATAAAAAGAAAATGGAGTATGACAGATGGGGTTCAAAGCCCCTGATTGATTTCCTAACGTCCATAGGGGAAGACACCAGAGACGCCATGTCACAACATAGTGTAGAGTCAGTTATCCGCAGGTATATTCGTGAGAAAAACCTGCTTGATCGTGAGAAGAAGAAGAAAGTTCATTGTGATGAGAAGCTGTACTCTATCTTCAGGAAAAAGTCTGTAAATCAGAAAAGGATTTATACACTTTTAACTACTCACTTGATAGAAAACCTCGATCAGGTGGAGAATTTCACACTGGAACATGGCTTCGGTGAAAAGCACTTCAGTGAAAAGAATGAAAAGGTTTTAATGCCGTGCAAGAAGCAAAAAACAGAGAAGTCAGACGAGGAAACTTGTGAAAAGGAAGTGGAACCTGAAATGCGGGCAACTGGTTTCGCAACGATCAATGTGGATAATATAAAGCTTGTTTATTTACGAAAGAGCTTAGTCGTAGAGTTATTGAAGCAGAATGAGAGTTTTGGGGATAAAGTGGTGGGAAGCTTTGTGAAAGTGAAGAATGATCCTAGGGACTTTATGGCGTACCAGATCTTGCAGGTTACAGGTAATTAATTTGCGGTTATGAGTATTTGCTTTCTGTAGTAGGCTTTGCTGATTTTTTCTTTCTAACTTCATAGGCTTTTAGATAATTTCAACTGTTTTTTCTCTCTCATTTGTTAGATGATGGCAGCTTATGAGACATTATAGTGCTGTAAATTGCTGTAAATTGCCATATCTAATCTCTGAATTTCTCTCATACATGTCACGCACATCCCAATCAGTGTCACACCTGATAATTTTTTCTTTTCTGTAGGCATTGGGACTGCTGCTGACCAGAGTGAGGACGTGCTTCTTCATGTTGCTGGCATGGCAAGTGGTGTTAGCATTTCCAAGTTGGATGATTCTGACATAAGCCAGGTGAATCATGTCTGAAGCTAATTGATATATTTCCTACAATTTGAGTTTGCTCTCTTTCGGATTTTGGGGAAAAATATGAAAAATCTGCTGCAAGCACTGAGAAATTTATCTTCATAATATTCCTCCTAAATGACTAATGTATCTTTTATTTGGATTTTCAAAAGCTTCCGCGAAGCTAAAAATTTCTACTTGCCCACCTTTTCAGGAAGAGATTAATGATTTGAAACAAAAGGTGATGAATGGACTTTTGAGACAGCTAACTGTTGTAAGTTCTTAAAGAAATCTAAATTTCTGTATATCACAAGATTTTGGTTTTTTGTTTGGAAAAGATGATTTTCATTTACATTGACGAATCGGCTGGTAAGACAAAGAGGGAGTTAAATCATTCGGCATGTGGATCTCAAACCCAGATCACGTTCCTGTATTCCATGAGCTAAAACACATCATTGTTGTTATGTGACAGGTGGAGATGGAGCAGAAGGCTAAGGCTCTCCATGATGATATAACAAAACATGTGAGTATCTCTGAAAACACACAAGTTTAAAAAGGTTACAGACTCTGTGTTTTGGTGCTGCATCTCACACTTTCTTGTGTAAAATTCCCTGGAAAAACCAGTGGATTGCAAGACAGCTTAACATTCTGCAGAAACGCATCAACTGTGCCAATGAGAAAGGATGGAGAAGAGAATATCCTTTAAGATTCAATAGAAAGAAACAGTTATCGTTAACCACATTGTCATATGATTTTGTAGACATCATTGCATTTGAAACACCTTAACTCTTTCCCTTTGTTGGACTGATTCTACATTAGAGGAGTATCTAGAGCAGAGAGAACTTCTCGAAAAGCCTTCAGAGCAGGAGAGGTTATTAAGAGAAACTCCAAGGATCACAGAGGACTTCATCGAGATAAAACAAGAACTGGATAGCAGCAAACAAGGGGATATCAGCGGTCTGTCTCCCGAAAATGTGATAGCTATCGACTAACCAAGATTATGCAGCATCTCTAGAAAGAAGAAGATGAATGCTGTTGTACATCTTACTTTAATGTTCTTTTTGGCTGGAATATTAATGTTCTCTTCCAATAGAAACTCGGCTAATATCTTGAAGCTCTTCTTTTGGAACTTAGTAGCGTTTGCAGAAACAGGAAGCTAACTTGGTTTTGTATGATGGTCATGTACGTAGTAGCATCAAAGTGACATGGCATGTTTAATTTTCATGTATATAAGCCTAGTGATATGTATTCTGCTATCAAAAGGAGACTATTTAACATTAATCTTGCTTTAGTGCCAAACTTTGAAAACCCTATTTAATTTTAGATCTATTTTAAAATAAACAAATAAATCACATTGCTTGGTAATCAAATTCTGGAGGTAATTCTAAAGCCTTCTTCTTCCGTCTGACCTTTGTCATCTTCGTCACCGAAATTGCTCTAATCGGTAAATTCCTGTGATTTTAGTTTGCAAACAATGGTTTGGGGTCGAGATAAGTAATGATTTGAATTCGGGAACTGATTTTCAAGCAAAAAAAAACCTACTTGATAGATTCATTAGCTTTTGTTTCAATAGATGAAGCTCAATAAGTAATGCAGATCAGGTGTTCGATAAAATGTCTGTCTAAATGAACTTTTGACATATGGGTTATGCTTTCGCTTGTGCTACAAGTTTCAAGTCGGGGTAATATATGTTTACATATTTCTTATTAGATAACTGTTTTTGAATCCTCTGTTATTAAAGTTTCAGGACAGATTTTGTAGTGAACAGTCCAAAATGACGCACATGTTGTTTCTCAAGGACATAGTTCCGGCGGCGCAGAACAACATAAACACGCGGTTCATCATCCTGGACAAAGGCAGAGCTCCAGCAGCGAACAAGGGGAAGAGCTGCATAGCGCTGGCTGCGGATGAGACGGCTGCGGTTCACATACAGCTGTGGGGAGAGGAGTGCGAGGCGTTCGAGGCAGGAGACATCGTGAAGCTCACGAATGGGATATTCTCATACGTGCGGAACAGCGGTCTCCTTCTCAGAGCTGGCAAGCGTGGGAAGATGGAGAAGATGGGAGAGTTCACCGTTGCCTTCGTCGAAACGCCAAACATTTGTGAGATCCAATGGAATCCTGATCCGGCGAATCCCAAACGCTATATTCACAGCGGCGTCCTTTCAGCTTTTTCCCGTATCTTCCCTCCTTTGCCTTAAGTTTCTTTGGGTGTAATTCGCATACAACGTATCGTTTGATCTAACTCTCTTTTTTTTTTTTGTTTCCTCTTCTTAAATCTAAGGCTAATTCTTCATGTATTAGTACTATGGGTGCACTTGTCTGGTGCAAGCAACTGAATAGTGTTCCTCAATGTTTGTTGTCGAGTCTCAGTGTTGCCGAGGAATTACATACGTATAATGTTCAAGTTGCTAACCAAAAATGATGAGAAGACGAGCTTTTAAACTTAGCCAACTATGTAGTTACTGGCTAATATAACTATAATAATAAGAGCCAAGAGTCATTATAAGTAGATTAATTCATAACCTTATAAGCTAAAACAGCAGAAGAAAGTGAAGAAATATTAAAAAAAAAAAAACACTTTGAGGAACCTAGTCCCTGTTCTTTATTTCATCGAAAACCATTAACCAAAAATAAAACTCAAAATACGTAGTAGAAAAATCACTTCACCACACAGATCTTGATAACCGAAGCAGCTCCAATCCGGTGCAGAGCCACCACAGCATCACCATGGTTACACAGTCCTTTCTCAGTCGCTGACTTCAAAGCTGACTCAATAATCTCCTCTGTAGATTCACTATCAGTTGCTTTTGCAGATCCTTCTGCCAAAACCGGAATCAGACCTCTATATATCAAACTATGCCTAGCTGGTGACTCATCACTGCAACTCCAGTTAAAGGTATCACTGGTGAAAACTGGAACAACCACTGATAGAATTGGAACAGCTGGTCTATACTTAGCCACCAGTTTTGCCGTTGTACCTCCTCGGGTCAACACGATGATGAGTTTTGCTTTGGCTTTGTTTGCAGTTCGTACAGCTGATGATGCAAGACTCTCAAGTGTGCTCATTGGAAGTGGAGTTGCTCTAATCATCTCCTTGAATATTGTGTTGTAGTCAAGCGATGATTCTGCCTCGATGCAGATTTTAGCCATTGTTTTCACTGCTATTTCAGGGTAAGCTCCTGCAGCACTTTCTCCGCTAAGCATCACACAGTCAGTACCATCGAGTACTGCGTTTGCTACATCTGTGGCTTCAGCTCGTGTAGGTCGTGGTGATTTGATCATAGACTCGAGCATTTGAGTAGCTGTTACCACTGGTTTACCCGCTAGGTTACACTTGTAGATCATCATCTTTTGAGCCAAAAAGATCTTCTCGATTGGAATCTCCATCCCAAGATCACCACGAGCAACCATGAATGCATCGGTTTCACGCAAGATCTCATCGAAATTCAGCACTCCTTCTTGGTTCTCAACCTTCATAAGATAAAAATTCAAATCACAATCCAACCTTTAAAACGACTTTCTGCACAAATGAAATAAGAAGTAACTTTTTACCTTCGACATCAACATTATATTCTTAGAATGTGATCCAAGTACTTTACGGACGTTAACAAGATCTGAACCTTTGCGAACAAACGAAAGAGCAATCATATCGATGTTGTTTGGAACACCCCATTTTAGAATATCTTCTACATCCTTGTCAGTCAATGTAGGGAGATCAACAACAACACCAGGGAGATTCACATTCTTTCTTTCACCTAGCATCGCTGTATTTTCACATCGACATATAACAGTCCCAGAATTTGGATCACATGACACCACAGCTAGACTTATGCTTCCATCTGCACATAGTATGGTATTTCCCGGCTTCACATCCACTGGCAACTTTTTGTAGCTCATGGAAATCGTTTTTTCATCACCCTTGATTTCATAATCAGTGGTAATTGTAATCTCCTGACCTTCCTTCAGTTGTATAGGGTTCCCATCTTTCAAGAAACCGGTACGAATCTCAGGCCCCTGTGATGTAACATTCATATTATTTACTGAAATGTTTTCAACACAGACATAGAATCCAACTATAATGTTTCTCTAAGTAACACAATAGATCTATCAGTTGCTAGTTAGAGCCAACTTCATCAATAAACATCTGTTTCTGAGTTTTAGGGATCCATCAACAGTAATAAGCAAAATGTAAACACTAAATGCCTAGTGTTCAAACAGATAAAAAAGACACTCTTAAGATCAACAATGTTGTACAAAGGGTGTACCATCCTTTTATCTCTGCTGAGAAGTCACAACACAACTACAAAGAGTCTAAACAGTCTTGAGTAAAATCATAACAAAAGAGAATCTAGATCCTAGTCCAGAAGTGAGATCAAAACAATTCATGTTTACACACTTGTAAAGAAACAAGTGAAGAAGAAAAGAAGAGAAAGAGAAACCTTTGTATCAAGCATAACAGCAGCGAGAATGCCGGTATTCTGCATAGCGGTGCGGAGATTGTCAAGAGTCTCTTGATGATACTCATGGCTTCCATGAGAGAAATTGAATCGAGCAACATTCATGCCGGCTTTTAGAAGCTTCTCAATCATTGTGACAGACCGAGACGCAGGACCTAGTGTACAAACGATCTTAGTCTTTGGAGTCCTCCCATCGTTAGGTAGCTCCTTGAGTATCCCTTCTATGTCTATGTTGGACATTTTTCGTTACTCTCCAAACAAACTTAATCAGATTCCTGCTATCAACATTTGGAACATCATACCCATCAATCCAAAATCTTCGATAAAATAATCAAAAACCTCCGATCCATCTTAACAGAGAAGGGACAAAACCCACACACACAAAAAAAAAAACAGATTTTACATCGATTGATCGCACAAGGCGATCACAACTAATAAAAGTCCACCAAACTAAGCGAAAAAGACGGGATTTTTAGATTCAGACGAATGAAATGAATGTAGTTTACCAGTGATCCGATCGATTTCGAGACTGGATCTAACGAATTTCGAAACAGAGATGTTGAAAAACAAAGTGATGATCGGAGAGAATTGGGTTCTACCTGAAAACGAAGCTTCTGTGGTTTATGTCTGGACTAGTGTGAAAGCCGCCGGAGACTCGAATGTTAAACCAAGGCAAGTTTATAAACGGCGTGCAAAACAGCCACGTGGAATTAACTCACAACTGGAATTTTCACTACTAATTAAAAAAATGTACATAAATGCCTCTTTTTTTTTTTTTTTTTTTTTTTTTTTTTTTACTTCATTGAAAATTACATTTTGTTGAAAATTATAATTGTCGAACGAACCATTCCTATATGGTCGTAGGATTATAAATGCGATTATTCTAACAAGAAGAATATGCTTTTTGGATCTAATTTTGTCGTCCTTTCGAGAAGGTATAAATAAGTTTTTCTTTTAAAACTAAATAAATTAGGTATTATACTTCTTGTATAGTTTTTGTAGATTTAGATATGTCTTGTCTTGATCTTGACTACACAATTCTAAGTTCTCATTAAAAGACTTTTGTTTTTTTTGTTTGTTTTTCTTAGACTTAAAAGGAAGAAACCTAAAAGGAGTCTTTGACTTGTAGGAGACTTTGATCATGGACCCCTCACAAGATTGAAGAAGATACAAAATCAAGCAGCAACTTATCAATGTGTACATAGCTAAAATGAGAAAGAACACTACTTGGTCTTGTATTCTTGATGGATTTGAATCTTCACATGCGTTTCGGCGGAATATATTGTACATGCTCTTCTTGGCATATGAACTGCAGTTAATTTACGCACAGAGTGAAAAAAAGAATCAAACATAGTTAGAGCTAATAATGTGTTGCCAAGTCTAGTTTGAAATCGTTTACCTGCATTTCCTCAGGGAGTGGCTCTGACACCGCAAGCGTGTAGCAACCAGGAGCAAACTTCCCTGTCAAAATTTTGCAACATCATACAATCAGCAAATCAAACAAGGAGCCAACAAAGTGTCTTGCATCTCTATAGATCTAAAGTCCACATTCCCATTTTTAATAGATTTTGGCTCTCAGCTACCTTCTCCAATTAACAGGACAAAAGATGTGCTGATGAATGTAACAGTAATCCAACCATCTATAGCCTATCAGAGTATACTAATTGGAGAATAGGAGCACATTAATGGAAAGAATTGCTGGGCTCAAACAGAAATAGAAAAAGAGAGTGATCAACATTCTTACCGATTCTTAACCACCTAGCCGCCCAGCTTCTACTTGGATCCATCACAGAGATTATACTGCAAAAATCATCTTAACATCAGTAGCTAGAATTATGAATATATCAACTTACAAAAAGAGACACAACCCATTAATTCTCTCACTTCAATTTCCAAATACAACTGTTATGGGATATTTGCCACTAATTATGTAACAATTACAACACTAATTCAACAAGAATGAATATAAACAAAAGCAACAATCTATCATTCAGAAAGTAGTATAATTGCATACTTAAGCCAGAATCACTCCAAAGTTGAGAATTTTTTTACACAACTAAACAGTAAAGCAAATCTTTTGAAACCCTAGAAGAAGTGATTTGAAACAGTAGCCACCAACGCAAAGACTTAACTAGGGAAGAATAGTAAAGTAATGGTTTAGAATTCATGAAATACCCATTGAAATTAGGGGTAGTGACCTCCACAATACGCTCGTGGTCCTCTTCCATCTTGAAGAAAGGACAATTCTCGCAACCAGCGTCCCTGAACTGTTTGAACAGAAACCCAGATTATCAAAACCCTAATAGAAGAAAAAAAAGGAAGAAGCAAAACCCTAATAGAAGAACAGAGAAAAGAGTAAAAGAAAAACCTGGTCGTAGGTCTTGACGAGTCTGCAACGAAGACAAGCCCTAAGCTCATGGCCGAAACTAGTCGGAATTTGAGCTGGTGCGCTTCCCATTATCGTTTGGTTTTCTGAATCTCTCTTCCCAAATCACAGTTTCTTCTTCAGTTCTTCCCCCAAGTTTTTTTTTTAATAAGCAAGACTGGAAACGAAGTCAGAGGAGAGTCGACTCTTTTCCATTTTTCAGTTATTGGGCCGTATAGGGCTTTATATGGGCTTTAAAATCATATTAACCATCCGTTATAAAAACTCGAATTAATCATTCAGCGTCGGCTACAGTTTGTTTAACGCAGCGCCAAAATTTTCAATTCTCGCATTCAGCGTCAGTTTCTTCTTCTTCTTCTTCTTCTTCTTCTTCTTCTTCTTCTTCTTCTTCTTCTTCTTCTTCTTCCTCAGTGTTCAGAGATTTTCTCTTTCCCGATCTCTATATATTCTCGCTCTTCTTCACATTTGGGTTTCTGGGTTTCGCGTTTCCGTGTCTCTCTACACTCGCAATCGCTAAATCCGTTCAAAATCTTGCTCGGTTTGCTTCTTCTTCTTCTGCTCTTCGATTCGAAATCTCTCAATCCGATCATTTTATTATTGGGTTTTTCATCATCTCTGGTAAATATTGAATCTTTGAGACTAGTCTGTTTCATCATCTCTGGTAAAATTGAACCGCTGCAGCAACTGTTACTGATTTTGGGTTGATTCTTCATTAGCTCTGAACCTTTTCAATGGTTTTATTATCATCTCATCGCTATTTATCTTATTAGTTTGCTGGATTGTAATTTATTATATGTATGTATCAGTTTTTACAAGATTGATATTTTTATCTTTATGGTCTACAAGATTGATTTCAGAGAAGTGTTTCTTTATGTGTATCGTTACAGGCCTGTTTGATTCAGGAAAGCTCAAGATTTTTTAATTCTATTGTATCTGCAGGATGGCGACTGAACCAACTTCCAAACGTGTGAAACTGATAGGCTCCAAAGGTCTCATCAAAGAGTCTGAAGTCATTAGGATCATCACTGAGGCTCTTTACTCGCTTGGATATGGTGAAAGTGGGATCCGTCTCGAGAAAGAATCTGGCATTCCTCTGCACAGCACTATCGTTAAGCTGTTTCTGGAACAAGTGAATAATGGAGAGTGGGACAAAAGCATTGTTACATTGAAGGGAATTCAATTGCAGAACGAAAAGGCTGTCACTTTCTTGCTACTAGAGCAAAAATTCTTTGAGTTTCTCAAGTTGGAGAAGGATACTGATGCTCTGGGAATCTTAAGAAAAGAGATGTTGCCTCTTGGTGTTAACAACAAGCGTGTTCATGAGCTCGCATCCGTACTAATATCAGCTTCTGGCAAAGATGCAGAATGTGTGAATCCAGGGTCTAAGGTTGTGGAGAAACTGCAAAACTTGTTTCCTCCTGCAATTCTTATCCCAGAAAAGAGATTGGAGTATCTCTTAGAGATGGACCTTGATTCTCAGATGTCTTGCTGTGAGTTCCATAATATTCCGGATAGTGACTTGTCCCTATACTCTCATCATCACTGTGGGATCCATAATATTCCTTCTGAGACTTTAGAGGTAATAAGACTCTGCACCAATATTCAAATGTTACTTTTGATTGCTTTGTGATGTTGTTGTCTCATTTATGGATGAAAACATTATGAGAGAGTCACATAACTTTAGCTGCAAATACTTGTTGCTGGTCAACTTTGTGTTTGTTTGTGGACTTTCTGTGACTGTATCTGTATGCCTTTGATGATATATAGCACATCCATTAAGTTCTATATATGTGAATGGTTCAGACTTTGGAGAAACATACGGATGAAGTCTGGTTCTTGAAATTCTCACACAATGGCAAATATTTGGCTTCATCGTCCAAGGATAAATCAGCAATTATATGGGAGGTATGTTATGTAAACCAACTGTGGATTTCTTAGGGTGAAGCAAAAATTTAGTAATATTTGCTGATACACGTTAATTAATGTGCTTTTTCTAGATCGATGCACAGGGGAAGTTTTCAGAGAAGCATAAACTATTGGGACATGTGAATCCCGTGGCAATGGTTTTGTGGAGTCCTGATGATAAACAAGTCCTTACATGTGGAGAAGATGAGGTTATCAAGCGCTGGGTTGTTGATTCAGGAGAATGTGTCCAAACGTATGAAACAGATGGTGTTGGCTCTGTTTCTTGTGGATGGTTTCATGATGGTTCAGGTATAATTGGTGGAATGGCAGATAGGCGCATCTGTTTGTGGAACTTAGACGGGACTGAGATAGAGCACGAGCAAGTTCAAAGGGAACAGAAGCTTTCTGATGTAGCCATGACGGCTGATGGGAAGTGGCTTGTAAGCGTGGGAAGGGTGTGTGAGATCTCATTGTTTAACAGAGAAACCAGAGCTGTGAGACTGATCCCAGAGGAAGACATGATTACCTCGTTCTCGCTTTCGAAAGACAACAAGCATCTTCTGATCAATCTCATTACCCAGAAGATCCATATGTGGAACATTGAAGGCGAACCATATTTGTGTTCTGAATATACTGGCCACAAACGTAGTCGGTTTATTATCAGGTCTTGCTTTGGTGGCTATAAAGACAGTTTCATCGCCAGTGGGAGTGAAGATTCTCAGGTAAAAATCTCTCATTCTTTTTTCATTTATCTCTTGAGACAGAGAGAGAGAGAGATGGAGAATACATAACAAGATAGTTATCAATCTCTCTTACAGACCTCAGAAACATTCTCTTGTGCAAATGAGTGATCTTTGTCTGTTGTGTTGCAGGTGTACATATGGAAAATACTAAGACCACAGAAGGAACCTTGTAGCGTATTGCGAGGACACTCAGGAGCTGTGAACTGTGTGAGCTGGAACCCGACTGACCTGCATATGTTGGCTTCAGCAAGTGACGATGGAACCATTCGGATTTGGGGACGTGACAAGAAGTTGGAAGTGATTCAATGCTAACAGAGGATGGTGACTTAGACAGCAAGTTTATTCATTTGACATTCATCATGTACATATGATGTAAATATATTCTACTTTTAGTGTTGTGGGTTGTTGTATATTTTCATCCTCGTGATATTTGGTTTCACATCTTCTGACCATAATAGAACAAATTAAAGATGCATTTGAGACATTTGCTCTTATGTTGATGCTTTCACTTCTCATTTTTCTTAGTACTATATATATGTCCTCTTTTTGTCACTCATGCCTTGGTTATGAACATTAATCCCAGTTTCCAGATTTCAAATCTCACTCCACTAGATCAATAGAGAAAACACACACAACTTTATATTAAAATGCTTGTTTAGAAATGGGAAAAGAAAGAAAAGGTACATTTAATGGATTGATAAGAAACAACAACAACAACAACAAAAAAAAAGGTTAGCAAAGGCGAGTGCAGTAGCAGCGGCGATGAAAGCCATGACAGTGACCACCGGAAAAGCGCTCTGAACGGCAGATCATGGCACAGTTGTGGTCGCTCCAACACATGCGCCTGAAGTGATGGCTCTTTGATTGGCACATCCTTCCCTCAATCCCAATCTCCTCTGTTTAATCACACAAATTAATATATCAGATGCAACATTTATACATATCTTGAATACTGTCAGCATTTATGTTCTTCTATGCAACTTAGTTTTATACAGATCCTATATATTTCAAAGATTTGTAAACATTTGTATTTAGTTTGAGGTTCGGTTACATAGCAAAGAACATGAGTTTTTTAGCAATGGTTTAAAACCCATGTATGAATGCTCTTATCATTATGCATATAGAGAATATGCTTAATTAATGCGCAAAAAAAAAAAAACTTACGAGATGAGAAGAGGACGAGAAGCAAGAAAAAGGTTGCCAAAAACTTGTTCTCCATTTACTTGTCCTCTATATGATATTTGAGAAACTCCTTTTCTTTCCTTTCTTGTGTATGTATAAAATGTTGAAAACGTAAGTGGTGAATTGAGTAAGAGATACATCTCTATGACTCCATATATATATACTAGAGACTCATATGTAGTTTGGTTAGGGTTTTTTTTTCTGTTTGGTTCTGTTACATAGTGTAGGTATATAAGGTTGTTTATTAGTAATTTTTCTCTTACCGATGTGTGTTAATAACTTAATATAACACCTTTGACGATGAATTGAATACACACAATAAAACAAAAAAATGTACTCGGGAGATGCATAGGATTAACCAAAGAGACAAATGTAACTAATCAAATATACTCTGTCTGTCCATTAAACTAAACATTGTGAACTTAAGATTGACGAGAGCTAGGGAGAATGGTCGGCGAATAACAACAAAAACTCAAGAAAACTCGAAATTTCTCTTATGGGGAAATGGTTAAGGAGAGGAGCCAGTCACGTGCTCACTAGTGATTTGTCTCTACTGGGACAATGGGAACTATTCTAAAATGCACAGTTTACCACACCAGTGGTGAGACATACTCAATACTCAACAGTCACACTCGCACCATACCCAATTTTTTGCTAAGTCACGTGGACTAACATTATTTAATATATGAGGCCAGCCAAATAAATATATGGGCCTGAAGACGACTAGAGATGATACGTTACAAAAGCCCATAGTATTATACCAACCAAGAAACTCCTACTTGATGCGTTACAAAACCATGATTGATTACAGTTTGCAAATACTTTTTGAATAGGGATGCGTGTGTACCAACTACAACAAATATAGATCTCACCATTTTTAAAAATAAAAATAGATAGTTAAATTAGTATCAACTATCAAGACAACTTTTAAGCTACAAAAACTAAGCTACATTATAATTTTTTAAAGAGTTCTCTTTTGAAAAGAATACAAAAACAATATTATCCATTCAAGTTATTATTGATCACCATTCTCTTGAATGTATGAGGAAAAAAAAAGTAAGTAGCAACCAAACCCACGTGGTCGTCAATAGATTGGCCCATAGTAACGGAAAACAACTTCACATGATGATGAGATGTATCTTTTATTACTATTATGGGGGTTCATACGAAATTTTCATCAAAAACCTTAATATATACAGTTGTGTAACATACTGACATATATCTTATAAGTATATAATATTAAGGTTTGACAAAGTGAACCATGCATGTTATATTTATTACAACATGGAGGATGTTTATGAATCAATAAGCCTTGTCATGTGAATGGCCGGCTTGACTGCTCCAAGTGTAAGTAAAACAGCTTGTAGTACTGGTAATATATAAAAAAGGAAAAGTAATTAGTAACGTACTTAGTTATGTGAATGGTCGGTTGATACACAATATTGCAGTAGTAATTTATAACTAATTAGTCGAAGCAATCAATGGGGTTTGTCTCTTTTAAACCGACCTAGACCATGCGACGTCCTACGACCAACACAAGAAGAGGAATAAATAGATGATGTTAAAATTATTACTATACTAGCAGTTGACCCGCGTTCCGCGCGGGAGGTTTATAATTTTGTTTTGTTGATTTTTTATTCATATTGTGATATTTTATTATTTTTTAATTGATTTTCAAAAAATATTATAATTATTTCTCTTTAATTATTATCTTTCAATACTCAAATTTGGATTAAAAGCATTTGATTCAATTTATGAAATATCCTTTTTTCTTTTTGATCATGTTATAAACTAATATTTAACTTTCATTTTATTTTTCCTCTTTATAATTTTATATATACAATTACATAAATGTTGTTTTAGTCTACCATAAATTTAAACTTTTCTTCCATTCTAAAACTCAGTAACATATTTAAAAATTAAATTATGATCAATTTAAAATGAAAGTTGAATTATATTATTACCACCAATAAAAAATTAAAGTATTGTTTTTCTTATTTTAACATTTCATTTTTTTATATAATTTATTTTTATTTATATAAACTTTTTAATAATTAAATAAGTAACATAAATATGCACTAAATGAAGGTTTTAAATTTATTTTAATGTTCAAACAAAAATGTGGCTTATATGGATGCTTAGGTGGCATCATGAGAAGAGAGAAAAAACTAACTTTATATATATAGATACACAATTTGCTACATGTATTATACAAAAATCATTAAGTTACATGTTCCAATACGTATAATGTAATGCATAATCTAACGAGTAAAGTGAGAAACAAGGAAGACGTACGACTAGTTTTATAGTTTACGAATATTATTAGAGAGAATATTGATTGATTAATGACCGTTAGATTAGACCTGAAGCTGGTCATGGGAAATCGAGCAAACCAACCTCTTCACGTGCCTCACTTCCATACCCATCTCCTCCGTTCACTCCTCCATCATCGCATGTATACACACACACCGATACATACAAATTACACATGCGTGTGTAAGTATACGCGCAGGTGTGGGATCACTCTCTCAGATCCCCATGAAATGAAACCAACGCTTTATATAAGATGAACCATTTTCTAAAACGATCCCAACTCCAACTGTGACACATTCTCAACGAGATCGTACGCTCAAGTGTTTATATTTATACACACTAACACACACAGTCACAGACACAACTTGGAATTGATTTGGAGGAGGAAGCAAAGAGATGGACAAGTATGAGGTTGTGAAGGATTTGGGAGCTGGGAATTTCGGTGTGGCTCGTCTCCTTAGACACAAAGAGACGAAACAACTCGTTGCCATGAAATACATCGAGAGAGGTCGCAAGGTTTGATCTTTTCTTCTCTTTTGTTTCTCTGAAAATGTTTTGTTTCTTTTTTTCTTCCTTTATAACCATCAAAGGTTTCACCTTTTAGACTTGAAGTTTCTTTTGATCTGGTGAAAGTCTTCAAATTTTGGTTTGATTGAGGAATATGTATGATTTGACATTTTGATTGTAATATGCTTGTGTTGCAGATAGATGAGAATGTAGCGAGAGAGATTATCAATCACAGATCCCTTAGGCATCCAAATATCATCAGATTTAAGGAGGTTTGTTGATTTTTGCATATCTCTTACTAGCTTAAACGATGATTATGGAGCCTAAATATATAACAGAGTAATTGTGTAGGTGGTTCTGACTCCAACCCATCTTGCTATTGTCATGGAGTATGCTTCTGGAGGAGAGCTCTTTGAACGAATCTGTAATGCTGGTAGATTCAGTGAAGCTGAGGTCTGTAACATCTTCTTTCTCAATAATCCTGACTTAGTTCTTGTTCGGTTTTTCGACAAAGTATTGATATATGTTTCTCCATCTGCTATTTTCTCAGGCTAGATACTTCTTTCAGCAGCTGATTTGTGGCGTTGATTACTGTCATTCCTTGGTATTTCCATATTAAACCCAAATCTCATCAAATGTGAAAGCAGAGATCTTTGCTTCCTTTTGTATAACCATTATTGGTTTCTGTAGCAAATATGTCACAGAGATCTGAAGCTGGAGAACACACTGCTTGATGGTAGTCCTGCACCGCTTTTGAAAATCTGTGATTTTGGTTACTCCAAGGTCATTCATTCATTAGTCTTTATTGCTTCTTTGTTTCTATTCTAGTTCCCATCATTACTTGGATTTGATCTCATAACTCATATGTTTCCATTTCTTCTTGAGTAGTCATCTCTCCTTCACTCTAGACCTAAATCAACTGTCGGTACTCCAGCTTACATCGCACCTGAAGTTCTTTCCCGAAGAGAATATGACGGAAAGGTAAAGTTGCTTTATGTCTACTTCAATGAATTGATCCTTATTTGTCACTTATTAATGGAACTTTTGGTGTTTGTGTTATGTAGCATGCGGATGTTTGGTCCTGTGGTGTGACTCTTTATGTGATGTTGGTTGGAGGCTATCCGTTCGAAGACCCCGATGATCCGAGAAACTTCAGGAAAACAATCCAAGTACTAACCGACTCCTCAAATTTCTCACAGCATCTTTTTCACTTCAATTCTTCTACTGAGTGTTTTATGATGTTGTGAAAATGTTCTGCAGCGTATAATGGCTGTCCAGTACAAGATCCCGGATTATGTTCACATATCGCAGGAGTGCAAACACCTTCTTTCTCGCATATTTGTCACTAATTCAGCTAAGGTACTTTTCTCATTTTTCTGAGTTTAGCCCGTCTTTTCTATGTTTCAAGTTGTTGATGAGATGTCTTTAATTTTTGCAGAGAATCACACTTAAAGAGATCAAGAAACATCCATGGTACTTAAAGAACTTGCCAAAAGAGCTTACAGAGTCTTCTCAAGCGGCGTACTACAAGAGAGAAACCCCTAGCTTTTCCCTCCAAAGCGTAGAGGACATAATGAAGATCGTGGGAGAAGCAAGGAATCCAGCTCCGTCATCTAATGCCGTCAAGGGATTTGAAGAAGATGACGAAGATGTGGAGGACGAGGTTGAAGAAGAAGATGAAGAGGAGGAGGAAGAAGAGGAAGAGGAAGATGAAGAAGATGAATACGAGAAGCACGTCAAAGAGGCGCACTCTTGCCATGAGCCTCCCAAAGCTTAATAAAACTCTCTCTGTTGTTTAATATTCAATCTTCTTGTATGGTCGTATCTCTACGTTGATGTGAATTCGAAGTTTCAAAATCTTATCTACGCAATTGACCAAATCAATTAGTTATCCTATAACATAAAAATAGCATTTGAACATTCGGCTTCAATGCATACACAGGAAGAGTAACACAACCTCTGTAAATAACATAGCTCAGGTTTGAACATAGTGAAAGGAAGTACCTTTACTCGTATACATAACCAGATCTCACGGTGCTATAATCTAAATTCACAACGCTTGAGAGGGAGAGAGCGAGAGAGCAGCACACACAACACAAACTTTTTCCATCTGTAAATTACCAAACCTAAAGAAACGAGCGTGAAAGAATACATATATATGACGATGAGAGCTTTGGGTCGTTTTAGTCACTGAAGTCTATGCTTCCACTGCGTGAGCTGCTGCCATCACAGCTATGCAAAGAAAGGCCTCTCATATGACCTGGTAAACCCGAGGCACCGTCAACTTTCTTCTCCTTGAAGAATTTTTCCCTCTCAACGTGTTTTGCAGGTGGTGGTGGAATCACAACAGGTGGGGATTGTGAATGGCTATCACCGGATTGCGAACGGCTATCACCACCACGTGATGCCTCCTCTGATGGTAAAGGACGAATAAGTGGACGGTTAAGTCTTTCGTTATGGATTGCTGATCCAGGTAAGCCTTGTGGAGGTGATGGCTCTTCTTCATCCTCAGGCCTTGCTCTCGCTTTCCCTTTTCGCAATCTGCAAGCATATATTCACATGGATCCTTAGTCTTAGCATCAAGTATAACCAATTTTTATTCCAAGAACTTATGAGGCAATCAACTTTGTAATTTCCGATTCAAGATAAAGTTGCGAGGGGACAGACCTTCTGAATAACTGCTCAGGCTCCTCTTCCTCATCTTCTTCCTCAAGCTTAAGATGGGCATGGTTAGAAATAGAGCTGCTTGATTCGGTATTTGCATTAGAAGCCTTTAGCTCGGGTTTCTGGTGACCATTTGAGATAGGACGGATAGGTTCGAGATTGGAATGATATCCACTGGATGTAGTAGACCTGCTAGGAACTGTGATTCTACCAGACAGCAAATCTTCATGTCTATTGAGAATTTTCTGAAGTTGCTCATTCAATTCAATTGCTTTAGAAACTGCTTTTTCATCCCTGCATAAATAAAATTGGTTGAAATACTTAGAAAGACAAATTCTTGTAACATGCCCTCTAAACCAAGAGAGAAAGGAGATTTGCCTTGATGTCATGACGAGGTGCATTACGCGCTCTTTCTGAAATGAACATTGCTCGACAAGATCAAGAGTAAACTCATCTTTTGCCCCCTGGATAAACAAAAATGGATCAAACTGGAGTCATTCTCAGGTTCAGAGATTAGAAGGTAGCTAAAGAATGTCTGTTTATTGAAGGTTATACAAAGTCAAGAGGTATATTATATACCTCAGGATTTTGGGAATCGACTGCGTCAAGCACTTCCTTCAAAACTTCTAATGCAGTACTAGCCTTTTGTAAAATGCTATAAGCAAAGAGATAAAACAGCATAAGGTCTCTTAACATTAACTAAAATTTTAGATAACTGACATGTCGGGGAAGAAGATACCTCGAAGGAGAGACAGCTTGGGAATCTCGCTGCTGAGTAGTAGCAGGCCCCTCATTTCTAGCAGATGCAAGTTGTTCATTGAGTGTATTTCTTGGAACAGCTTGAGCAGTGACCACGACTGGTGTAGCATTAGGTCCCTGCGTAAATTTAACCCCTGCGTTCTGGAGGTAATAGAAGCAAATAAAAAGAAAAGCTCTCAATCTTATCTGATTTTGTTTCTCCAAGAACAGAATCACGGAATTCCAATGTTCATGTTTCAAACTCACCACTAAATCATAGTATGCTGCATAATACTGAGGGAATTTCCCTGAAGCGCCACCAAGGGAGGTTTGAGTTGCATCAAGAAGAAGAAAAATCCTCTCTCTTACAGGCAAATCCGACTAAAAAGTGTTTCGAAAAATACCAACCAAACAATATGCAAACTAAAATAAGCAGCTTAACTCTCAAATTGGTAGAGAAGTAACATCCAGAAACAGAAATGGACGTACTTTTTTCTTTACTATCTTCACAAGTGTAGGGAGTACACCTGTATCTATAACCTGCTTATGAATATTCTCTCCAATATTATTCATCAACATCTCCAGCAACTGCAAGAACAAAGAAATAACAGTATAAGTCACCAAACGTTCAAAAGTATGATAATTCTCATGATTTTACGGTTTAAAGATCTGGACCAGGAACCTACCTGGACGGCAAATAATTGAGTATTTGGGTTCTTGCTTCCTAAGCGTTTTTTGATAGCCTTGATAACATCTTTTGCTTGCCTTTTCACAATAGAACTCATTATCAGAAGAAAAGTGTGTCCAAGACAAAAGTAAAGAGTTCATTTATCTCAACAGCAATTTAAACATCAGCAAAAATATCACTTTTAACAGAAGAAAAGCACTCTTGTTGTGGTTTAAACTATATATTATGCACTAGTGTCCTGCTTATATTCGAAATTTGGAAAAATTCTGGCTCGTCATACCTTTCATCTCGAGCAGCTAGTTCACAGATCTCGATGTTTTTGGCCCAGTCCACATCAGCAAGCTTCTCACTTGTTGCAGAACTTACAAGCTCTGCAGCCATTTTTTGTTATCTGTATGAGCCAGAGATAATTAGCACCTAAGGATTCTCAGCATGACCAACCAAGACATATATTACTGATTTCAAGATCAGATACTTAGTTCATTCTAACCACAAGAACAGCAAAGAGAAAAGATGTGTTATATAGCTTTGCTAAACCAGAACATCAAAAGCAGCCAAAGAAGTGTTGTCGAAACAGAACATAAAGGTGTAACAGATTTAATAGGCGTTTTCTCACGGTTATTGAAGATTTTATGCATTGATTGAGAGCTCGAGATCAGTAAGGGGACCTACATTGGACTGTTATATGGTTTTTGCTTCCAAGTACAGCTTCAAATGTACAATAGCTGCTAAGCTGCAATCAATGAGATCATGTCAGACAGGTCGAAAGAAATCGAATGTTGTTATCTAAACTATATCTCAGCCACACAGAACCATCAGTTGATTTCACAGAGGAAAATACTAGACTCAGGACAAATCTATTCCAAATTAAGCAAGTGTATACAAAACCTAAGCTCCTTCTCCCTATCTCTTTTCTTCCCTTGAAATCAATCAAAACCCCCATAGAGCCATGAGAATCCAAAAGATAGTAAGAAAGAAAACACAAAAACACACTTGGCAACTAGAGAGGCTAAGACAAAGCTTTCAACTTACACTTCCTGAAGCAATAAATTAGTCAATCTCAAATGTCTAGGAGGACAATGATAGAGTGAAGCACGAGACAGAGAAACAGAATAAGAAGATGGAACAAATTATAAAAATTTCTTCCTCTTGCCCTCCAATAAAAAAAAAAAAAGGTTATCATTTTTCTCCATTTTGAGTGAGTCTCTATATCCAAGAGATCACTGAAAACGATAAAGGTCCATCCTTTTGATCACAACAACACATACCCAAATCTAGGAAAGAAACTCACAAAGCAACCCGATCACGAAGAATACGGACAATTTGATCTAAATAAATAAATAAAAGTCTAGCTGTCGGAAAGCAAGCAGACTCCAAAAATAGATCTTAAAGCAGAAACAAACATAAAACGGAACAATTAAGTGGATAACGATAGAGTGAAAGCCCTTACTCACCTGAGAAGAAGGAGAGGATAACGAAGGAGATTAACGAAAGAGTTGATAAACCCCTAATCAGTTTGAGCATTTCTCATAGAGACGTAAAGAAGAAGAAGAAGAAGAAGAAGAAGAAGAGAGAGCCAGATCGGTGACACGGAAAAGAAAATGAAAGACGACGAAGCCTTTGCGCCTCTTCTTTCACTGATTTAATCAGATTGATTAATTCCTTAAACTAATCGTAAGAAACAGTGATTTTGGTACTGGTTACTTTTTCAATTAGAGAGATTAGATTAGTATTAATCTTACACTTAATTAAAAAGATTTAAAAAAAAAAAGGGAAAGAAAAAAAATCAAAGGCTGAATCAGCAGAGCACCGCCATGAGGGATCTGTCTTGGTAAAGTGTTGTTGGCGCGGGGAAGAGAGATTATATTAAAGTCACGCTCTTGTCTGCTTTAACCAAAAACACTGACAGCCTGGTTGACTGCCACGTGTTTTACTCCCTTTTATTACGACACCCCATAAAATCTGGGGGAAGGAAGAACTTTTTTTCCTTTCATAAATGGTCCGTGATTTCATTGGCATCCAATAAAAGCCCCTTAGAGAAATATCTGTTAATTTCAACCCAAACAGAAAAATGCTATAATTTTGAAACTCTTCATTTTCTGAATATTTTCATTATTTTGCCAAAATTACACTTTTTCAAAAACCAAGTTTTCTAAAAGAATTTAGTATCTATTAAATTTTGTATAAATACCAAATTCCTTAAGCGATTGTTTTAATGTCAACTTTTATTTTCTTTAGTCAAAACAAATGTCGTTAGCCAAACAATAAACACTCTTAACTACCGATATTGACTTTCTTAATTAAGAAAAGGTAAATTTGACCATAACTGAATGTTTGAGTTTATAAATTGATTTAAAGTCTGAAATTATTTTGGATATATAAAGGTGTTGTGGTCACTCTAATGCAGAACTATCCCTGCTACTAGTGGTATTGAGTGAGCCACCATGTTTTTTTACAAACTTAATCAACTCCAAAAAAGACTTATGTTGTATTGTGTATCGTCTTTGCCTTAGAGATCAAAGTATTGTATAATTGCATTAGACAAAGTCATAGTTTAGTTCAAATATTTGGTCCAGTGAATTAACTTAAAAGCTACTGAATGGTATGCGTTCATTATAAATTTATACATACTGTATATAAATCATTGAAAAATATATGTAATAAAAAATCGATTTTATCATTTATATCCAACAATATATATTGCCTCACTAAATCTTTGTGAAAAAATGCAAATTAATTATACAGTAAATTAATCCGGCAAAAGTTTGGGGAGTAAACTAAAGGAGTTTTTGAGATTGAGTAAGAAATACTACTACAGAATTAAAGTGTTTTTTTTTTGGACATCATTTGGAGTTATGATGATTGCAGTCGTTAATTAGGTGGATATAAACACGGTGAATCAGTTAGGTTAGGTCATAATAGATATTAGAGATTATTAACGTTACTAACCATATTTGTGCATACGGTACGCCGTCGTTTTAAGGTTCTTCAGATAGTGAACATGATATTAGCTGGGCTTGTGAAGAAAGCTTAAATCGGGAAAGAAAGCCCGATAAACTAATTTTCGTCCTAAAACATATACATATAAATGGATGATACGTCGTCGTTTAACGGTTCTTCTCTGTTCCTTAAACCACTGAAGTCTGAAACTCGAAAAAAGCCTCACTCACTGAACCCTTTCACTTGGCTCCAGTTTTACCGGCCACCGGAGACGGCGAAACTCCGTCATTTAGCTAAAATCATGCCTTTGAAGTTCCCTCTCCGAATACGATTCTTCACTAACTCTCTTCTGGGTACTCGTCTCTCTTATAATCCCTCTAGCTCCGTCCCTTTACTCTTTCGGATATTCTCTTCTAGATTGAATTACTATGAATTCGGGTCTCGCATCAACTTCTCAACCCGTACGAACAGAGACCAGCCCGAATTTGAGCGGAGGAGTCGAGAGGGAAGAGAAATTCGCTCTTCAAAGAGCTTGATCGAAGACGAGGAAGAGCTCAGTGATTGGGTTAGCGGTTTTAGAACCGGATCGTCGCGTGGACTTGTCACGAATGACGATGAAGATTCGGGTCCAAACGTGGATGATCGTTTCAGAGGGAGAAACCAAGACAGGAGAGGAATTCGCAACCAAGTTGACTCCTCTCGGGATAAGCGGTATGGTGGAAGTGGATTGAATGGTCGGATTCAGGGGAAGAGTAGTGAAGCGTATTTTCGTGGGAAGAAAGAGACAAGTTTTAGGAGAGATAGAAGTAGAGAAGACTACAAGGGTTTAGGGAAGCAGGGTGATCGTCTTCTTGAAGACGAAAGTAGTGATGAGGATCTGCAGAGTTTAAAAATGGGAGGTATCGGGGATGTGCTTAGCGAAGATGTTGATGAGGAAGAGGACGAAGATTATGAATTTCTTAAGAAGAAAGGGGTTTCTGCTTTTGGGTTTGATAAGGAGAATGCTATAGGAGAGGATAAAGCAAGGAATGCAGATAATTCTTATTTGACTAAGACAAGGTAACGTTGTTCCAAATCTAGTTTCTTCTGTGTGCTGTTGAACTATGGAGAATACATTAACTTCCTCTGAGTTTTGCTTGATTGTATCTTTACTTTTACTCTGATCACTTGGTACCGTTTTATTGAGAGTTATATGTAAATGGTATAATGTATTTTAACAGATTCGATCAGTATCCATTATCTCCCTTATCGCTAAAAGCAATCAAGGATGCTGGATACGAGACAATGACTGTTGTGCAGGAAGCTACTCTTCCTATAATTCTCAAAGGTATATCTTCTTTTTTATTTTAATGATGCTTATTGGATCAATGGTGCAGAAAGAAAACAACATCATGATTTAAGAAGTGGTGATTCTACCAAGCTTTATATGATCACGACCTATTTCAGCCTAGCAATCCAGTAGTAAAAAGAAAAGCTTACAAACTTTGTGAACCTCAAGTACACAAGGACTTCTATTTTCTTATGACTTTATATTTTCTTTAGTTCTTTGGTTTCTTTGACATTTCTGCTTTTTCCAGGTAAAGATGTCCTAGCTAAGGCCAAAACAGGAACTGGGAAAACTGTAGCGTTTTTGGTGAGACATACCATACACTAAGTTGGCCATATGGTAATGGATTGAACCTGTATTTAGGATATGTACTTATTGCTGATGTTTATTTTCAAGCTTCCATCTATTGAAGTAGTCGTCAAATCTCCTCCTACAAGCCCTGATAATAAGCGACCCCCGATTCTTGCGCTTGTTATATGCCCAACTAGAGAACTTGCCAATCAAGCTGCTACAGAAGCAAACACCTTGCTAAAGTATCATCCAACTATTGGTGTTCAAGTTGTGATTGGAGGGACAAGACTTGGTTTAGAGCAAAAGCGTATGCAAACAAATCCCTGCCAGGTGAATATCATTTCCTTTGGTTTTTATAGTTGAGGCTCACTCATCTTCGGAGCAAATCCTTAAAGTTCCCCAAGCCCATATCATAACTGTAATTTGAAACTTTCAGATTTTAGTGGCTACACCTGGAAGGCTCAAAGACCATATCGAGAACACGCCAGGATTGGCGACAAGGTTAAAGGGTGTGAAAGTCCTTGTGCTTGATGAAGCTGACCATCTTTTAGACATGGGTTTCCGCAAGGACATTGAGAGAATAATTTCCGCTGTTCCTAAGGAGAGACAAACTTTTCTATTTTCCGCCACGGTACCTGAAGAGGTCTGTCTCATTTTTTTCATAATTATTTTGGGTTCTGTTCTTGTTGCGATAGTCCCTTGTTGTAATGGGTCTTGATTTGTGTAAAGGTCCGCCAAATATGCCTGATTGCTCTGAGGCGGGATCACGAGTTTGTCAACTGTGTTCACGAAGGCACTGGTGAGACGCATCAACAAGTTAGACAAACGCACATGATTGCATCTCTGGACAGACATTTCTCTCTTCTGTACACACTTCTTCGCGAACATATAATGGATAATGTGGACTATAAGGTACAAAATTTCTTCCCATCGCCTGTGGCAGACCCCGGTGGCTATTATTTTCCCTTTCTGACTAACACTTGTTCCTGGAGGTCATTGTCTTCTGTACGACTGCTATGGTTACAAAATTAGTGGCTGATCTACTTGGTGAGCTAAACTTAAATGTGAGAGAGATCCATTCTAGAAAACCACAGAGTTACAGGACAAGGGTTTCTAATGAGTTCCGAAAATCCAAGGGTTTGATTCTGGTAACTTCGGATGTATCTGCTCGAGGAGTTGACTACCCTGATGTGACCCTTGTTTTACAGGTAAAATCTATTATACAATATTACAAAACTCTTACCTCAACTTCAAACTAGAAACTGTTTTTTTTTGGGGTTTCACAGAAACTGTATACATTTCCTTACTTGTACAGGTGGGGTTGCCAAAAGACAGAGAACAGTATATACACAGACTCGGTAGAACCGGGAGAAAAGGAAAGGAAGGAGAAGGCATATTGTTGTTGGCACCATGGGAGGAATACTTTCTATCATCTCTGAAAGACTTACCCATCACTAAGTCTTCTTTGCCGGCAGTAGACCCGGAAACTGTGAAAAAGGTTACCCCTCTTCATCACTAAACCACCACTGATGTTGACAAAAGCCTACACTGATGGATATGAGAAACTCAACTCTTTGCAATTGGAACAAACAGGTGCAGAAGGCTCTTTGCCATGTGGAGATGAGGAACAAGGAGGCGGCGTATCAGGCTTGGTTGGGTTACTATAACTCACAAAAGATGATTGGAAGAGACAAAGAAAGGGTTGTGGAGTTGGCAAACGAGTTTAGTCGTAGTATGGGACTTGACAATCCTCCAGCTATACCAAAACTTATCCTTGGTAAGATGGGTCTCAAAAATGTTCCTGGTCTTAGAGCCAAGTAAATATGTCCTTGTGTTTTTTTTTTAATTAATTGACTTTGTATGAAGCTCCCTTCTGTGTTATTTCATCATCTTTACAGCTCTACTAATCCCTTTGTGTTATTTCATCATCTCTAGTCTCTACAGCTCTACTTTTACGTTTCATCAGATAAATCCCCAAATTGTTAATTAATAATTTAATATAATTAATTAATTGTCTAATTCGTAGATAAGATATACACGTAGATGTGGACCAGAGAACAATACTAAACTAGTAAACAAATCAAAGAGCAAACGCAGTATAGGCGCATGAGTAACACACCTTCAGAGATTAGTTAACCTTCTAAGCGCGTCGTGTTAACAGATCTCTCTCTAGCGTCAAGTGTCTTTTTCGTTGTCCTAAAACTCCGATCAACTCCTCCGTTGTGTTCGCATGGCGTTTGCTCCAATTCTCCGCCGCGCCTCCGCGACTAAAAACCTCCTGTCGTTGACTAGACTCGCCGTTGGCTCTTCATTCTCCTCCAGGTCCCTTCAAACCGGAGCCTCCGGTGATGATACTCAATCCATGGCTGGGTATCACGTGAGCTCCGGCGGATTCATGCGTGGAGCCGTGTATCGCGAGCCCAACAAGCCTCTAACCATCGAAGAATTTCATATCCCTCGGCCTAAAGCCAATGAAATTCTCATCAAAACCAAAGGTATACAATACAATTCTTCTCCATGTTCTCGGATTCAAGAGATTGAATCAACTCTATAGGATTCAAATGTTGAAATTTCAATGCTCATTTTTAATTCTTTTGTGGGCAGCTTGTGGAGTTTGTCACTCTGATCTTCATGTGATGAAAGGAGAGATACCATTCTCTAGTCCTTGTGTTATTGGGCATGAGATCACTGGTGAAGTAGTTGAACACGGTCCACTTACTGATCACAAGATCATTAAAAGGTTCTTCCTTTTTTTTCTCCTCAACACTAATGGATTTATATGTTTTGTTTATAATCCTAAATGTCTCAACCTTTTTTTGTTCAGATTTCCAGTCGGCTCTCGTGTAGTTGGAGCTTTCATTATGCCTTGTGGAACCTGTTCTTATTGTGCTAAGGTGAGTATAAAAGTGTAGTGCTTTCATTGGATTCTCTAATCTGAGAACTGTAACTTTTAGCTGATACTTTCACCTGGATACAGGGCCATGATGATTTATGTGAAGACTTCTTTGCTTACAACAGGGCGAAAGGAACTCTTTATGATGGCGAAACTCGTCTGTTTTTGCGACACGATGGTAAATTTGAAGGCTTTTTAAACAAAAAGGTGGCATGTTAGGAGAACCGTGATTGTTTAATCTAATTAACATTTCTTATTTTCCTGCAGATTCACCAGTGTATATGTACAGTATGGGAGGGATGGCGGAGTACTGTGTCACACCAGCTCACGGGTTAGCTCCTCTGCCAGATTCTTTGCCCTATACTGAATCTGCGATTCTAGGCTGTGCTGTTTTTACAGCATATGGGGCTATGGCTCATGCTGCTGAGATCCGTCCTGGAGATTCTATTGCAGTTATTGGAATTGGTGGTGTTGGTTCGAGGTATGTTATATGTGTGGCATTGTATTTAGTACCTGATTTGAGGGTAGTTCTAACATGAGGTTTTAATTGCTTCTTGTATAACCATAACCATCTTTGAGTTGTTGCTTCAGTTGTTTGCAGATAGCGAGGGCTTTTGGAGCTTCGGATATAATTGCTGTGGATGTTCAGGATGATAAATTGCAGAAGGCCAAGACACTTGGTGCTACTCATATTGTTAATGCCGCTAAAGAAGATGCTGTTGAAAGGATAAGGGTATGGTTGATTAAGGCTCATTTCTTGTAGCGATAGACCTTTGATTGGTATTAATATGAAAAACTGTTTCTTCTTCATAGGAAATAACCGGTGGGATGGGTGTTGATGTTGCTGTTGAAGCCTTGGGAAGGCCCCAAACTTTCATGCAGTGCACACTAAGTGTGAAAGATGGTGGAAAAGCTGTGATGATTGGACTCTCAAAAGCTGGTTCTGTTGGAGAGATAGACATAAACCGACTTGTTCGTAGGAAGGTTTGGGTTCTTACTCTCTTGGCCTAGTTAGAAAAATTCACTGGTGCGGACCATGATGCTGAAGCTCTTTTTTTTTTTTTTTTTCAAAACTATGTGAAGATAAAAGTTATAGGGTCATATGGAGGAAGAGCAAGACAGGATCTTCCTAAAGTAGTGAAATTGGCAGAGTCAGGGATTTTCAATTTAACAAACGCAGTTTCAAGTAAATACAAGTTTGAAGATGCAGGAAAAGCATTTCAAGATCTTAACGAAGGCAAAATCGTAAGCCGAGGTGTTGTTGAGATACTATAAACTATAGCTATCTGGTTCTATATGTGGTAAATGACTGCTTCATACCTGATTCACTAAGTTTTTTTTTTAGTTGCTACTGCTAGCTACTACAATCTTCAGACAATTTTTTACTTGTGTTTGCTTCACTGTGCATAACAATGTCTTCTGAGTTGTCCTTTTTTCAACATTGTTCTTGATAATCAATAAAGAAGCATGTATGATGGTGAAACCGTTTTGTAGTTCCTCCTAAGCTTTAATAAGATGAGCTTAATAAGATAATTGTATACGTGATTTAGCCTAAATATGAATAGTCAAGAAGTAAGCAGGGTAAAAAAAAAATTAGTTTCTATACTGGTAAAATTATAGTTACTAGACAGTTAAAAGACCTGTAGTAACTGGACATTTATTCGTAATTTTACCATATTTATTTATTTTAAACAGTTATTGTGTTTCTAAACTGTTTTTTTTTTAATATTAAAAAGATAATTTCTTGCCTCTTTCAGAATTTTCTTATTTCTGACATATCCTAGATAACTAAGAAATATCAAATTCATAAGATTTAGGTTTATTCTTATTATATCTGGTGTCTATTAATTTTTGAAAATTATCCAATCTACTGAATACTAATTTACACTTTAATATATAAGAACAAACCTTTTTATATGAAAAGAATATGAGTGAAGATAAATAATAATAGCTGTTTGTTGGACCAAGTGGCTAAATTACAAATCTAGTTTCCATTCTCAGCGTCGGCTGCTTCTTCACAACGTCACCGTTTTCGGGACAACTCAATCTTCTCCCTTCCGTCTCACCGGAATTTTCTCGGTTTTTATTTGTCTCCGTCTCCGACGTTCTCCAAGCTCGAGCTCCTCCTCCCAATATTTATCTGGTCAGATCCTTTTACGTATTTCTAATTCCCCGATTCGTTGATTTTTTTTTTATATAAACAAAAACAGATCGTATAGGTCTCGAGCTTGGAATCTGGAATTTTTTAGGTGTTTGATTAGGTTAGGGCAACTTAGCTCCGGGTATTGAATTTTGTAGGGTCTTCCTCTGGTTATTGTTGTCTCTGGAGCTTGATAATTTTCAACTGAATTGATCCTTTTTTTCATATTTTGTTGTAAAGTCTCGTGTTTTCGTTTCTGGGTCTAGATGAATTCCATTTTTGAAGGTGAGATTTGATAAGACGTCAATTGCTGAAAAATTTGGAGTCTTTGGGTCTGACTTTGTTCGTAGGAAGTTTTCTGAGGGTGAGGGATGTGAAGTTGTATGTTCAGCAAATTCTGAAACGTAGGTCTATGAGGTGTCCTAGATCTTATTCTGTGAAGTTCCTTGCTTGTAAGTAATTTGGATCACTTAATTGAATCTCACAAGTATATTTTTAGATGGAATGGTTCAATAGACTCATTCCTATGGCTGATTTTTCCAAAGTTTTGTTCAAATTTCAGGAAAACTACAAAGAGTAAATCTAGATGGTTTCGTTTTGTTAGACTCTACCCTTTTCCGAATTCACATGGTAAAGACATTAAGGTAGAGAATACTAAAAGCAATGGGAGATGGGAGTTCCACTAGATCTAACAGCTCGAACAGCAGTACTGAGAAACCAGAATGGCTGCAACAGTACAATCTCGTTGGTAAGATTGGTGAAGGAACCTATGGTCTTGTTTTCTTGGCTAGAACCAAGACTCCGCCTAAAAGACCTATTGCCATCAAGAAGTTTAAGCAGTCAAAAGACGGAGATGGTGTTTCCCCAACTGCTATTCGCGAGATCATGTTGCTCAGAGAGATTTCCCATGAGAACGTCGTTAAGCTTGTGAATGTCCACATCAATTTTTCAGACATGTCTCTTTATCTTGCCTTTGATTATGCCGAGTATGATCTCTATGAAATCATCAGGCACCACAGAGACAAAGTCGGCCATTCGATAAACACCTACACTGTTAAGTCTTTGCTCTGGCAGCTTCTCAACGGATTGAACTATCTTCACAGTAATTGGATTATACACAGAGATTTGAAACCATCGAATATCTTGGTTATGGGTGATGGAGAAGAACACGGAATAGTGAAAATAGCTGATTTCGGGCTTGCAAGGATTTATCAAGCTCCTTTGAAACCTCTGTCGGATAACGGAGTTGTGGTCACAATCTGGTACCGAGCACCTGAACTGCTTCTTGGCTCGAAGCACTATACAAGTGCCGTTGATATGTGGGCAGTTGGCTGTATATTCGCGGAATTACTTACTCTCAAACCATTGTTCCAAGGAGCAGAAGCGAAATCGGCTCCAAACCCTTTCCAGTTAGATCAACTCGACAAGATATTTAAGATCTTAGGCCACCCGACGATGGATAAATGGCCAACACTAGTTAACCTCCCACACTGGCATACCGATGTTCAACACATTCAAGCTCGCAAATATGACAGTGTGGGTCTCCACAACGTGGTTCACCTGAATCAGAAAAGTCCTGCGTATGATCTCTTATCCAAAATGCTGGAATACGACCCTCTAAAGCGGATCACGGCTTCACAAGCACTAGAACACGAGTATTTCCGAATGGATCCCCTGCCGGGACGGAATGCGTTTGTAGCCACCCAACCAATGGAGAAGAATGTGAATTACCCAACTCGTCCAGTGGACACAAACACGGATTTCGAAGGCACGACCAGCATCAATCCTCCTCAAGCAGTAGCAGCAGCAGGAAACGTAGCAGGGAACATGGCAGGAGCTCATGGAATGGGCAATAGATCGATGCCAAGACCAATGGTTGCACATAACATGCA